TGATATAGAATTGAAATATTTGATAAGATAATTTTTTTAAAATCAATATACATAGTACGATAGTAAGATGAAAAATAATGATGGGTAATTGAAGAGGATACAAATCGAGATGTCGATGGCTCTTGATAGTATATACTAACTGTCGGCCAGCTAAAGCTTACATTAGACCAGCCAAAGCCAAGCTGCGTTTCAAAAATAGTATCTCCAAAGATTTGGGGTAGCGACACGTCTCTCATGACGCACGAGACTGTGTCTCCCCTGATCCCCCCTTCCCCACCCACCACCCCTCGTGCCCCCCTATATCCCCTTCTCGTAAACTCTATCTCCCTTTTTCTTAAAGTGTACGCAACCCAGATGCAATTCTCCGGCGCATTGCGAATCGTTTTCTCGAATTTTCTTACTGCATCTCATATTTGTACAAATTTAATCTGTTTAATTTGAAAAAAAAAACACACACACATACATTTCATCGTTTACTCTTTTAACGTATATATATATATATATAAATATATATATATAAATATGATTTATTTTTAATACAGATAATTTAATAAAGATAAAAAGATTTCGATATATTATTATGTGTGTGTGTGTGTGAGCCGTGGAAGAGAACAAAAATTAAAAATTATAATTTAATAGAGCAACAAATTTTCAAATACAATTTGCAATCGATTATTATGAAATATATCGAAAACGAGTTTATTTTTTTTGTTTATTATTATTTAAAAATAATATCATACGAATGAAAGATTTTTTTAGAATGAATTGTTTGAATCGTTAAAGATAAAGAAATAATTGGAATTAATAACGTTTGATTAATCTACAAAATTTGATTTATTTATCTTTGTATTAATACACGGAATTGATTTGATTTAATAATAAAATGATACCCCCTTTTCTCTCCCCACAAGTAAGATAAAAATTACAAAGTATAATATACTTTCGTAGAAAATGTAATTAATTAAACTTTGAAAATTTGAAACCATCGTTTTAACTCTATCTAATGCATAAAATTAATTTCATTAAAGAATAAAATGTTACGGGTACAGGAAATTGTAGATAATTTTAATAACTAGAAAATTAAAGAAAAAAATTAAGTAATATTTTACATAAATCGGGGTGGGGGAGGAGCGGGGGGTGTCAAAAAGTTGTAGATAATATTATTAAAAATCAATAATTCACATTCAATAATTCTAATATTAAACTTTTGTTCAAATAATAAAATGAAAAGCTTAAAAAATTGATTATTAAAATAACCTAGAGAAATTGGTTTAGCCATTAATCTTATAAAACGATTTCTCAATAATATTTTGAAAAGGAAAATAAATATTTGTCACTTGGAATATAAGAGTTTTAAATCTTTGTGTGTGAAAAGTTAAAAGAAAGGAGAACTTGTATTTTAGATATAAACTACGCGTCAAAGTACCCTTTGTCGGAAAAACCGTTGAACGTTCTCGCCAAAACACAACGTATTTTTCCTTTTTTTTTTTCCATTTACATTTGGCGAACTTCCTATCGAACGCACGTGGTGAACCTTGTTGAAAATACAAAGATAACCTCGTACAAGACTTTAATCCGCGTGTTTAGATGCATACATATGTTTCTTTATAATATGTGTATCAAATATATAACTAATAAACATAGATATTTAATCAAATTCTCTTGAACATTATTTTCTTTTACAAAAAATATTATTTACAAATTTAGAAAATATCTAATTAAAATATAATAAATTATTCTCTGTTGTGTGGATATAAAAATACGTAATATCATAATTTTCATATTTAAACAAACAATGCAGTATTCTCATATAACTTTTTTTATTAATAAACGTATATAATAATATATAACGTAATATACAGAGTGCCAAAAAAAAAACAAACTTACGCTACGTAAGTATACAAAATATATCATCATTTCCATTAAATTATTTCAAAAATCAATCACGTATATATATCGATGCTAATTTTCGTACAATCTAACCATCCAATCAAAAATGTCCTCGAAAGATTTACAATTAGATTAACTTTGAAAATCATGTTAGATAATTATCGATCAATCTGACACAATTTATAATTCATCTCTTATAGATATTATAATACAAACAAATGATTTAAAAAAATTACCGATTATAATCTTTTAACAATCTTACATACATTAATTAAAAACTTCATTGGTTATTTTTTATCATTTCAGATTCCTTGGAATCATTGTCGCCTGTCGGTAAGTTTAATTGTATCCTTTTGTTCGACCAATAGAAACAATCTATGTTTATTAGAATCCTAAAATTAAACGACTATAGCACTACACTACTCATAATGTAACCAAAAGTTCGGACATTTACGATCAAATAAGATGATCTTTGTAAGGATTTGGTTATTCGAAATTCGACGGGAGCTCTATTTTCATGTGTCGTAAAATCCGATATACGGGTGCCTCGTGACCAGACTCGTTTACAGTCTATTAGTTTACACCTCGATCATAAGCTGGTACAACGGTTATGTATATGTATATATATATATATGTACGTGAGTATTATATGGGTGGGTGGGTGGATGGTTGGTTGGTTGGTTGGTTTGCTAAGATGTGCCGAAAATATACTTGACAGTCGAGCCACAACGTCAGACCATTGCTGATAAAATCCTCAGAAATGTGGGCACAAAATTTTAGATCGAGAACATACCTCTTATAATTCATACTTATTTATAATCCTCGATATATTTGAAGTGTATCGGTACTTTATCTTTTCTCTATCTATCTATCTAGCTATCTCTCTCTCTCTCTCTATCTCTCTATTTATCTATTTATCTCTATATATCTTTATCCCCTCTTATATATCATGTGTCTAAAAGAAAAAACGTTCTTTGCGAATTTCAACAAGTAACTAAAATTAAACCATTGCTGTGTTTACTTTGAGCCGATTTATTTTTCCTTTTTTCTTTTCTTTTCTTTTCTTTTTGTATTTTTTGTAATTTTAAACAAAAAAATATAAAAAGGTAATACTGTCAATTGAATACGTAATAAATAAATAAATTTGTATATTTGGTAATTATGAAACTATGTGGTCTAAATATATAAAAAAAATAAAATAATAAATTTTTAGTTATTTATCGTGACTGAAAAGGAAAGAGGTACAGGGAAGTTTTTTTTTTCTTATTTTATTACGCTTATCTAAAAATTTAACAAAAAGAGAACAACTCCACTCAATTATTTATATTCTAATGTAATAAATATTAAAGTCTTGTTAATGTCAATTGTTTAAATATCGAGGAAAAGAAAATAATAGGTTATTAATGAGACGATAAAATATGATACAATCTTTTCCAATAGAAAATTGATCACAAATGAAAAAAATAAATTACACTTACACTCGTATTCCTTTCATCTCCAACCACATTCAATTATTTATATTATAACGTAATAAATATTAAAATCTTCTTGATGTCAATTGTTTGATTTAGATTATTGGTATAATTACCGATAGAAATCTAGTCAAATATCAAGGAAAAGAAAATATTAGGTATGGTTGATTGTTAATTAGACGATAAAATATGATACGATCTCTTTTAATGCGCATAAAAGTCTACGAACGATTGGGATTATCGTGACGTAAATCCCTCTTACGTAAGCAGTAAGTTATTGTCGGTAATTTTGACGAATACGTAGACAAATAATATTGGATAATGTGACATCTGTTTTAGGAATAATTTCATACTTTCAATAATAATTAATATTTTGGGTATAGATGCGAATAGAACTAATGAACGTTCGTCCAGTTGTTGTTCTTAAAATAATTACAATTTTAATCATTATGTTTATATACCACGTGCTTACATACATACCTAATATATCATACGTTAATATTATACATACCAATAATTATGATAATTGATTATAAATCAAAAAACAAACATTGATATCATGATTTATTTGATATTACAATTAACATCTATTTGAATGATATAAATTATAAGATATAATTTTTACAAATATTTTACTTACATTAATACACTGTCATATATACATAAAAATAAATATCAATTAGAAAATGTAATCTTATTTGTTTGCACAGTGTATGGTTTTTAATGGACTCCCTACAATTATTTAGAATTCTACAAAAATTAGTATTTTCAAGATCACATGAAATTTTTGTTAAACGAGAACAATTAATTTTTTGTCTTTTTTACCCAAAAAAAAATGAAAATTAGAAAATATATAATATTTAAATTTGTGACTTCTCAAAGCTACATGGACATTATGTTATGGTTAATATAAGTGCACGCATATAATACATAGATATAATTCGTATCCATAAATAAACACGTTAACATTGTTTGTTCCGTCGATTAAACGTTGGAATAATTTATTGTTCTTAACATCCATCATAGTACGTCATCGATACAAACTATAATACTTAACTAATCCGCATATTTAATGTATTATACATATCTCGTATTTATACGAGTAAATGATAATTTTCTACAAATTATTGTATAAAGTAGAATGAAACTTGAATCATTTTGATCCTTAATACTTTATCATTTTTTCTAAATAATCGTACAAAATTTTCAAATATTAGTTATATTTTTTATATTATATATATACTAGTATTCATCTCTCTCTCTCTCTCTCTCTCTTTTTTTTATATTAGAAAAGTAAAAATAAATGTGTGTGTATATATGTTATTTTCTGATACGTAAAGCATACAAATTTTTGGTTTAAAATAATTATACAATTATTATAAGCCAAATATATATATACATTTCTGCATACATAGAAACAATATATACTATATATTCATATTTACATATACGAAAACATTTATATGCACGAGTTATTCGTATGACGTTGAGAAATAAATTGCACGAACTAGGAAGGACATCCACGTGGAGGAGTTACTTCGATATATATCTGCATAAATATACATATTATACACACGTACACATATACATAAATACATTCGTAGATGCATATCATATAAGAAAATGATCAATCATTGGAACAAAATCTTCTTTTTTATTCGATTAAATAATGCTACTTCTTAGATAATTGCATATACATTGATTTAGATATTATCCATTAGAAAGAAACAGATAAATATTCTGCATAATATTCATATAAATAACAACAGCAACACAACAACATATTTTTTTCCAAATACTCGCATTTAAATAAACAATAGGATTATTAAATAAACATGGAAAATATGTTCTTGATTAATTTATAATTGCTTTTCTAAAGGTTAAATAATACAAATAATAATATTAATAATAATAATTTTGTAAAAGAAACTTTTAAGAATATATGTTCATAGATATATTATATAATACATATATCTTACATGGAAATAGATATATATATAAGTAATTATATATATTACTGTTCATAACGAAATTGTAATTTATTGTCAATTAAATAGATATCTCTTTTTTTTCTGTATTAATAATGAAAGATAAGGGAAAGTGATTTTTTCTAATCGTGATATTTTTTTTTTTGTATAACATGACAATTGTAACAAAAATCTACTTACATTACTCAAAAGCGAATCTTTAATATGTTCATTGATTCTTCTTTCCACGACTAAAAATGATAACGATAAACGGGGGTCATCAAAATAATTTTATAATTATAGTAACGTATTATCATGTTTATGGCCACCAGCATTAAATGCTATTTCTTTTTTCTTTTATCTCTTTTGCTAGTCATTTATTTTTTGCTATTTTCTAAAACTTAAAGCATTACAGATTTTTAGTTCAAAATAATTGTACAATTATTATATATAATTATTTGCTATTTTTGTATATTTGCTAATTATTTTCTATTTATTATATATAATTATTTACCATTTATTTCGCGTTATTTCTCAAGGACTAATATTGTATGATATATAAATATTCTTTTTTTGTTTAATTATTTTATGTAGTCCTTAAATAAATAGATTTTTTGTTTCGTCAAAACGTATAGTAGAAATATTTTTATGATTTAAAAATGTTTAAATATAATATACGTGCAAAAACTATTTCATACATAATATAATATTATATTACAATATATTTGTGAAAATATATATAGGATGTTTCAAGAATACAAAAATATTTTACAATTAGAGGTGACTTAGCGATATATCGAAATAATAGAAAAACTTTATGTAAACATATATCTAATATGACTTTGTTTATAAATTATAACGAAATTTGTATCGTTATGATCGTTTCCTTTAAACAGGCGTGGTTTCTTTGTAAAGAAAAAAAATAAAAGAAAATTGAAGACAATTTACAGTAAATTTGTGTCACATCTGAACACGTGTAGAAATCAATAGAACCATAAACTTACAATTAGATTAAAAATTTAAGAAAGTTTTTCTTAAAAAATATCTTATAAAAATAAGTAATTAAAATATTTATTAGAAATCAAATTTATACTATAATTTGAAAATAATGTCAAATAGAACATATGTTTCTACATATTTTGTTTTGATGTGTTAACTCTGACCCTAATATATTTTCTATTTATTCTAGGATAGATTATCTATGAGTCGTTTCTTTATTTAAATCGGTATCAATCTATTTATTCTTATTCTGAGATATTTAAAGATATGCGTTTGAATTGATTGAAAAATATATTAATGAATTTGAATATATAATATTTTTTGTTAACAAATATAAATTTGTTAAATTTTATTATCCGATAATAATTAATGAAACTGTAAATGAACTTACAAAATCAGTTTCAAAAAAAAAAAAGAAAAGAAAAAAGTAAAACCATTTAATGCATTAACATTTTATGATGATACATTTTGTTCTATCAATTCATATGGATATTGTATTGTATTGGCTTTGTTATTATAGCAACAATATGAAAAAAAGACATTCATGCTTAACTGAAACCAATCTTAGCTCATTTTTTTTCAAAATTGGTCTTATATCACTTTAAAAAAAAATGGTTCATGTGCACATAAACTATATAGTTACGTTTATGTACAACACTATAGCTAATACCGAACACATCTTGTACATAACTTGTATATATATATATATATATATATGTCCTCCACAAGTCTTTTAAACGAAACGTTCGTTTTATCGATACGATGAAAATAACGTTCGATAATTAAATAATTAATTTCAAGGCCACCTGTATTATTCAGAAAAGAAACGATCTGTTTTTTATTTTTTCTATTACGTATCACAACTTTTCTCCAAACGATCTATCTCATTTTTCCA